TTGACTTGTCTAATTCTAAATATTCGTGGTCAACTGCTTAATTCATACTGGTGAGTGGCCAGTAATTCCGGTTGTCGAGAGTTGAGACAACAGTTAAACTACATCATTGCGACTTAGACTTAGTCACAAGGTGGGTCTCGGTGTTCATATTGTAATAGGTATGGCTTCTAGTAACCACTTAACATAAGATGAACCATAAACTCATTCGCTCATTAACACATTAATATTATTATTACATTAAATGCTAATTTAGCTCAAAAAAACAATAGTGAGTAATGTAATTTTAATGTTTAACTTTCAGTACTATTACCATCTGTTAATTATGACACAGAAACAGAAGAAATAAAAGTAGAAACAAATGAGAGGATAAATCTCAAAATCCATGGACTACCGGTAGCTACAAGCTTTGCTGTGTACGAACATTTTCAAAGGTAATTTGTAATTCAAAATTATTTAAAAAAAAGTATTGTAAAATACCTGTTGCAATTAACTATCTGTTAATAGAGATAAAAAAAATTGCTGGCATACTGTTGACTGGTAGACTATGATGTGGAAACTAACGCATGTATCACTTTTTCCCCCTACCTATACACTATTAGCCTAAGAGGTTAATCCAGCTACATCCGCAAGGGGTACCTCTATATTGCCTATATTTAGCAACGAGCAATACTAAATTCTTGCTCAAAGGGTGGATCAACCAATATACAAACAAACAATATATATAACAAAGAAACCAACATTTCCATAAAAATAATTCAAACTATTTTCTTTCAGCCATATAATATTATTAACTGATCCAACAAATTATGAAGAAGAGATGTGTGGAGGCAATGGATCAAATTTAATAATCTCCTACAACAAAGGCTTATTATGTGGCATTCAGAAATTGGGAGGTGGTAGTTTATCAACAGAAAATAATGAGGAAGCAATAAGATTAGCTGAACAACACACAATAGCAGTGGAGAAAGTAATCAATGCATGTTTAGAAGGAAAAGGAACAAATAAATAACAATATACTTAATGTTATTGTTTGTTTAGTTTTATTGATTAGCTTATTTTGATTCCAATTTAATGGAATAAAATTCAATGTTAAATAATAAAAATGGATGGTTGTATGTGTTCTATGCATTCCTGAACCATTCATCTGATTGTGATAAATCTTGCTATAAGTGTTACCAAGCGTCGTATTGAATTAAAATTTCACACGCTTAGAAAAAACTGATAAGAAAACATTAATTAAGTTTTTCGTATATTCCAACAGAATCTTCAGGATGAACGTCGATACGGACGATTAAAAGGCATATATGTACGTGCCTTTTTTTTTATTGCCCTTGTAAGCAGACAGACGAGGATACGGCCACCCTGATGGTGAGTGGTTACCATCGCCCATGGACTTCAGCAATGCCAGGGGCAGAGCCAAGCCGCTGCCTACCGCTTAATACTCTCCACAAGCCTCGTTTGAAGAAGGACATGTCATAACGCTCGGGAAACACCTTGGAGGGGAGCTCATTCCATAGCCGGATGGCACGTGGCAAAAAAGACTTCTGGAAACGCACTGTGGATGACCGCGGTGGCTCCAGGTAGTATGGAACATACAGTACAAAATACCGAGGGAACCGAAGTCCCTCCGCAGACTCGGAGGTTCCAAACGATCCGTGAAAATGGGATTATCGACAATTCGAACGGCCCTCGTCTGTATGGAGTCAAATGAAAGAAGCTGGTATTTGGGAGCCCCGGCCCAGAAACGGGAGCAGTACTCCACGCGAGGCCGGACTTGTGCTTTATAAAGCAAAAGTCTTTGTCCAGGCGTGAAGTCCGCTTCGCTCTGTTGAGGACTCCCAGCATTTTGGACGCCAACTTGGCTTTGCCTTCCAAATGACTCCGAAACTGGACATCGCTCAAAATGTCGACCCCAAGTATCCCGATACTCTCCGAAGGTTGCAGGGATACTCCTTGCAATTGCGGCCCCATGACAAAGGGGTCCTTCTTCGCAGTGAACGCGCAAACTTGGGCCTTTAACAGGTTGAATTGAACCAAGTTCAATTTACCCCATTCGGAGACTCGCCCCATAGTGCTCTCCACTTCAGACACAAGTTTTGATCGTCTCTCTTGCACCACGCTCCGAGAGAGACTGATGGCTGATATATCGTGCATCCCCCGTGCTGTCATCCGCATAGCAATGCATGCCATCAATAGACAGCATGTCATTGATATACAGGATGAAAAACGTGGAGGAGAGCACCGAACCTTGTGGAACGCCAGCATTAATGGTCATGGTATCAGAACAGTAACCGTCTACAATGACCGTGATGCTCCGCCCATCCAAAAAGCTAGCGATCCACTTGCAGAGACCCTCGGGCATTCCGTAAGATGGTAGCTTCGACGGAAGTGCCCCATGCCAGACCCCGTCGAAGGCCTTCGCGATATCAAGGCTCACAGCAAGAGCCTCGCCCTTGCTCTCCAAGGCTTCAGCTCACCTGTAACTAAGGTATACAAGAAGATCGCCAGCTGAGCGACCGTGACGGAAACCGTACTGTCGGTCACTGATCAGCTGGCGATCTTCAAGATACTTCAGAAGTTGTATATTTATTCACTCCATCACCTTGGAAAGCAAGGAAGTTATCGCGATAGGCCTATAACGTCACCCTTCTTGGGGATAGGGTGGACGTGGGCGGTCTTCAATGAAGACGGAACCCTGTTAGCGCAATAAGAGAGGTGATACAAACGCGTTAGCGCAGGTGTCAGCTCAGGGGCACACGTTTTTAGAACCACTGCAGGGATGCCGTCTGGCCCACTTGACTTATGGACGTCCATGAGTCGAAGTTCCCGCCTGACTGCACACTGTGAAGCAGATCAGCGACAGGGAACTATCACACCGTGTGATTTTCGATGGTGTGGCACCCCCGTCGTCCACAGTCGAGTTCGAGGCGAAGAGTTTGACCAAAAGGTCAGCACTCTTTCGCACTATAGACCAGACTGTAATCGGACTTGCGTAGTGGTGGGAGACTAGGCCTGCAAAAGTTTCCTTCTGCAGCTTTGGCGAGCGACCAAACAGCACGGCTCACGGAGGGATAGCTCTTTAGTCGCTCGCCAATTCTAGCAACGTGCTCCGACTTCGCCCTAGCAATAATCTTCTTGTAGGACCTGGAAGCGGCGTTATATTTCCGCCTTTCCTCTGAGACGTTAGGGTCCTGACGTCTCCTGACGTCAGTCCATGCCGCGTATGCGGACCGCCTAAGGTGTGCAGCATCCCTACTGGTATTGTCATACCAAGGTCTGCCGCGACCCCCAATGGGCACCTCAGAGGAGGTAACAACAATTCCATCCCCTGGAGCACCACGTCTGTAAGACGGTCCGCACAGACGTCAGGATCGGCAGAGGAAAAGCAGAACCGCCCATGGGTAGGATGCGTAAAATTCACGCAGCCCATCCCAGTCTGCCGACATATACCGCCAAACTCTTCGATACACGGTCGTCGTTCGACGACCAGGCCGAGAGCATGGTATGGCAGCACGGATAAGACAGTGATCAGACGATCCAAGCGGAGCGTCGACCACCACACTGTATCCGGCTGGATTGGTGGTCAGCAGAAGGTCCAACAGAGTAGGCTCGTGCCCCTCAATATCTGGAACACGGGTGGCCTGTGTCACCAGCTGGGAGAAGCCGTAGGCCAGGGCGAAATCGTTGGCAGCCCGACCCGGGAGGTCAGTGGTTCTGGACCCCAACCACTCTTGGTGGTGAGCGTTAAAGTCTCCAAGAACCACCACCTCCGCAGATGGGCACTGCTCAAGCACGCGGTTAGTCCCCTCTTGCACATGCTCAATCGGGCTGAACCTGCATCACTGCTGTGGAACCTGTAAAGGCACGCGTAGACTCGGGTACAACCCCCGTGATCTACGCGCAGCTACAAGAGGGACAGATCCCGTTATTCCCGCCTGCTGCCTATGCTGGATATGATGGTCGTTTCTCAAGCTCCTCCGGAATTCAACCCTAATTTCTTGTTGAAAACCTGGTTACCTAATCATTATACGTGTGTACCCGGGACACTTTTACTCTTCAGAGATTTTGTTAAAATACTCTAAAGCGATTTAGTAATACAGTGCTACTTCAGAACATTACCTACATTTTTAATTTAACTCAGATCGATTAATTAATTACGGCGATACGTGGATATAAAAATGAATGAATGTTCCATGACATATTTTAACAAAATTAATTTAAAAACCCATATGTGTATTTAAAAAAATGGAAATACCTACTTATTTTATTATTTGTGTTATGGTTTACTCGGCTCACTGAATTTGGTCCCCTTTTTTGATTTTCGGGTTTTTTTTTTTTTATTATTTGTTCGCTAATGTCCGAATGTAAAAAATGTTTGTTCGTCTTTTATTTATTTATAATTAATTAAACAAATGATCCTCCTTAAGTTTGCCTCCCTTACTAGATATCTTTATTTTTATCACGCAGATTAATTAATTTTGATCAATTATCGTTTGTTTGACAACTATTGGTGAATGTTCGATCATAAAAACAATTAACACACAACAAAATAAAGTGTTTAAAACGACAGCAAACTAAAAAAATTAAACAGGTGAGAAGATCGAGCAGAAAATGATTTTTTGTTGTATTCTTGAAGTCCCATTTTCACGAAAAGATCAAATGATATATCATTTATGTGCATCAACTTGCTCCATGACAATACTTCCGTGCACAGTATGAAGAAGATCAGAAAAATCTAAGCTACGGTGTGATTTTTTCTTTGTTTAATCAGTTATAATAGATTTTATTTCATACCTTGTTTTATTGCACACGATTCGAAACAAATTCATGTCGTTAAATCGGTCATTCAACACATTAAAATATTTGTGTAGTGTGTTGTGTATCGGCTTAGGACACACCGAGTACATTCGTGACTATTTTATATAACAAATGTAAATAGCAACACTATATGACAATTGACATAGATTATACATATGTGTAATTAGCAACACTTATTTAAAATGTCACCACGTCTTAAAATATCAAGTTATGTTATTGAGGTAAAGTATCGTAATTTTCTCTTGAATTACTTATTTCTAATTAAAATGATAACTTTATCATTATTTTAGTTTAAATATTCTCTATGTTTTATACTTTGTAATGTAATTTATTATGGAAAAATAGTGGATGTTTGGGTGTACGTACGTCATCACACTACCTAAAAATTATGATTAAAGTTGTCCTGTTGTGAGGATATAAAAAAAAAATTATGTAGTGTGTAAATACAACAAACTTGTTTTATTTGTTAGAGGTTGTCTAAAATCGACACAACAGAGAGTACAGGATGTTTGTATGGGCTGATGTACGATGGTACACTTCTAGTTGTCGGGTTCAGTTTAGAATCGTTTGAAACAGAAACCGAAAAAAACAGCTACAGCCAACTGTTACTTAATTTCCCCGCCGAGATAGAACTTTGCGGCGTCGTGAAGTTTGGGGAAACCTTAACCACTGATTCAACAACAAAAGAGATCTTACAGGTAAGTTCGAAAATTAATGATTACTAAAAACTTTAAAATTACATTCAGTACTGTATTTTAATTCAAGTGCTTCACGAGAGATTTCCATATTGTCCTATATATTCAAGTAATAGTTCAAAAAATGCCTAATAAAAAAGTTTTATATTTTAGGATGTAGATATTACAGATAACCCATTAATTATAATAATAAATCGTGAGAAGGATATGAAAGCTCACTTTATTGTTCATGATAAATTTGAAGAAACGAAATATGAGGTTTTCAGTCCTGAAGAGTTGTGGAAACAGTTTCTTCATGTACGTTTGAACACTGTGCTACCCCTGCGATGTGAAGCTACCATTGCTGGAGTTAAAAATTCACTGCAAAATAAGAGGAAAAAGGTAAAACTTATAACCCAAACTAAAACTTCATTTCTACTTCACTTATTTACATTTACATTTTAACATTCTTAGATATTAATGTGAGATTAAATATTTCAATAAAATTCTATAAACAATATATGAGAACAAATTACAGATCGAATAGTGGATACTCGGAGAGTGACCAGGGAGCTCTTTCAAACATCTAAAGCAAAAAAACAACACAAACATAAAACAAGATGGTTAATTTCTAATTTAAATGTTTTACAGATTGCTTCAGGTCAAGTGTCATTTCATATAGACAGTACACAAGTATATTTGTTTGGAGTAGCGTCAGATGTGGGCTTGACTGGAACAAGCACAGAAGCTACTGTTGGGGAACTTGTTGATTCAATGAGTCCTGAACAGCCATCGAAGAAAAAAAAATACAATATCAATAATGCAGTAAGTCATTAAACTCTGAAATTTTTGTATCTTTGATATTCATACTCTTGTTTATCTTAAACATGATGTAAGTTATTGGGCAATGGTTATTTCTTACAGGAAATATTACCAGTGAGTTTAATACTAAAAGTGACAAAAGATATCTTGTCTGATAAATTAGTTAAAACAGCAGTAAAAATGATGACAACACAAAGAAAACGTAAGTAAAAGATCAAGCACACATAAACATAAATACAAAATAAACAATATTAGTACAGATTTTAAGAACATCAAAAACTACTTGCGGAGAAATAAATGACTTGGCCGTAATCTGCTTAATAACTGTCAACATGGTTAGAATGAAAATAATAATCCATCAAGCCAATATTCAATCCAAAAAGAGCAGTAGGAAACAGAAGAGAGTGGACTTAAAAAATATTGTTACAAAAGCTTTGAAAATATGATTATTACCACCAACTCAATTTTGGTCATAAATATTTTTATAATTTAGTTTTAAATTTTATTTTGCAGCTGCTTTTTACATCAGTATGCCTCTCCGAATAGACACCCTGGCTATGATCCACCGAAATACTAAATTGCTTGATCTTTATATTGTGTTAGTTGAAGCAGCGTGCAGGTCACTGAGGTTGATGGAGAGTGTGTTGATAGAACAACTTGGTATGTATCAATCATATATCTATATATTAATACGTGAAGCAAAAACTTTGTATCCCTTTTTACGAAATTTGCGCGGACGGACGAGTATGAAATTTTCCACACTTATAGAGACAGAGAAGAAGTGCACAATGCTAATATTTTTTTAAAATAATGCATAAAAGATACATTAAATGAATAAAGAAAACGTTACACACACTACATACGATGTATTTGACGCACACACGCATGCATACTATTTATTGTCAAACTTTTGTTCTTGACGTCTGTTGTCAAATTGGGAATAGATTAAATATTGTTTGTCTTTGTTAATATTTTTTATAGTGTAGTCTTGGCGAAATTTGTGATTATAGAAGTATAAAATACAATCATAATAGTGTACAAACTTACAATTCCGATTAATTATAGTCTAATTTCGACTACTGCGGGACCTCTAGTATTAAGAAACGTTCGCTGTATTTCTTTAAAAGGAATCCAAAACTGTACAGAACAGAAAAGTTAATTGTGTACTGCTTAAAAGAATATTCAATGATAATATATTATGTATTTAAAGCAGTGTTCATGAAAATCAAATTTTCCATTTCATTTACAGTAAATTAATTTCAGATAGTTTCATAAAACTATATTTGTATCTCATATGGCAATATAATGTATAACTTTTTATTTTGTTGAGGAATATTTTTACTGATATATCATTTTTGAAAAGTTCATCAAGGATGTTTCTGTGTTTAATTAAACATAATTCAGAGTTATAATCAACATTTCAGCATTCTTGAAATTCTTGTTTAGTTCTAATGCTATTTATGACTAATGATTTAAGGTCAAGAAGGTATTGGTGATGGAGGAGGTCTAAGGCTACCTGAAACATTTCATTATCTACCACCAGAAATAGGCCATTTTATTACCAAACTAATACCTAAGGGGAAATCTGAAGATTGTATGGGTAAGTACATGATTAGACAACCAGATAAAGATGCCAATTGTTTTTGGTGCAACAGGAGTAATGACTGAAAGAGAGTGGATAAATTATTTTTGAGTCTAATCCAATTTTTTGTCTCCAATTTGGTTCAAATATCAGTGGCCTAGTTACCCTACTAGACTAACTTTGTAAAAAAAAAAAACTGGCTCCAGCGCCTTTGGCATTGATTTTGTCAATATCACAGTATGCACAATAATGACAGATGAATATAGAGAAAAAAAAACTAAATACAAATAAATTTGATCAGTTTTTCCATAAGCAAATCTGTGAACATTTTTTGTTTTACATCAAGTTTTAAATTACAGTTTCGCAGTACAATAAAATTTAATACAAATTCGGAATCTTTAAAAAAAATTAATACCATAAATAACTTAAGTTAATAATTTTAACTGAATAATGTTAAATTTATAATTCATCGTAATTAAAATCCTGTAACTGTTGATTTCGGTTTGAAAACAACTTTTTGTTGGGAAATTGGTGATAGAGCGTATAATTCAGCTCAGATAACTAAAACCAACCTGCCTACTTCTGCTGTGAAAACATTATGTAACCCATGAGACTTTGACCTCATTTTTCACGGGGATGGGGGCACGTTGTGATGTCTATAAGCTCCGACGACCAACTAACACTAAGTGAGCAGTAATTACGTTCACTTAATAATTCGTTCACAATGCCTTTGTGCGAAGGCGCATCGTGGTGCAAAATTCTTAAGCGTTCACTTTTATTTTTAAAATGACTCAGTTCTCGAATAAGTTGGAACGTTTAACAATCTTAATTCGCAGAGAAAGAGAGGCGCACTCTCCACGAACAATTGGGACTGCCACTGCACAGGCCTGTGTTCCGTCGAGGTAACGCGTTCATAGATAAAAGTGGAGGATACTTAGTGAATCCACACGAAGCCATGCCGGTACAAGCTCCGAAACCTGACGTTACTGTGGCATTAGTCAGAGGACGATACGCATATCATCATTACATGCAAGACAACTTCAATGATGATGGATGGGGTTGTGCTTATCGCTCAATGCAAACAATTTTCTCTTGGTTTAGGTAAGTTGCTATAAGTTCTCTTATATCCATCTGGTTTATTTCCTAAATTATTTATTTATTAAAATTCTGTTCTCTAGATCTTATCTCCCTAATTGAGGGAATGTGCAGGTGTTTGCCCAATATTTCAGTCTTTTAGTTCTAGTTTATCATCTTGATGTATTGCCCAAGATTAATATTCTTGCCCTTTTATCTATATTTCGGCTCTGGTTATCCCTTACTTTGACCATGAACTATTGACTTTCAGTACAAATGTTTTCAGATATCAAGGTTACACTGATGTTGAAGTACCCACCCATAAAGAAATTCAACAGTGCCTTGTCAAGATTGGAGATAAACAGTCAACATTCATTGGTTCAAAACAATGGATTGGATCTACAGAAGTCATGTTTTGTTTGGAAACTCTACTGGGTGTCCAATCAAGGATAATTTTTGCAAATACTGGGACTGAATTACAAAGTTATGCCCCAGAATTAGTCCATCATTTTCAAACTCACGGTAGCCCCATAATGATTGGTGAGTGGTTTTTTCCCCTACTTAAATATTATTTTATAGTATAGTGCTTTTAAGTAACTTATATTTTTAGGTGGTGGTGTACTGGCACATACTATACTAGGGATTGAATACAACTCTATTACTAACGAAACAAGATATCTCATCTTAGACCCTCACTATACTGGAGCTGAAGATATCACAACTGTTATTAATAAAGGATGGTGCGGTTGGAAGAGTTCAGATTTTTGGAATAAAACTGCTCATTATAATCTTTGTTTGCCACAAACAAGGCCAGCTATTTGAATGGTCTTATTCTTTGTGTTCAGTGTGTAATCTGTTTTTCTTTTCAATTTACTGCCAGTTCACTCTGAAATGTTAAGCTTTCAATATTTCATTAGGTTATTTATCGCTCATTAAAATGTACTGTGATAATAAAAAATTGGCTCTGTAGCCTTATAATTCCGTTCGCTTGCATTTTGTTTATTGTACATTCTACTTGTGATTGCCTGTTTGACTACCTACATAAAAAGTTCATTTGAAGATAATAACCTATCAGTTATTGTATTTGAGAATCCAAAATAATTTTAATAAAAATCTATATGCAAAAAAATATACACTGCAGTGCTACATTACACAAGAAACACATTTTCCTTTGCAAGAACTGTAAGGGGCATTTATATTTTTGGGATGAGAACCATTGTCTACATAATCAAATATTACGTTGTCATTGTAAAACTCTTCATGATAATAATTGTTTGCTTATTTAGTCATTTAAAGAATATTTGATTGTTGTCACATCAATATTAAAAAGATTTAAGATAAAAGGAAATGTTATATTTTGTACCAATTATTAAATTATAAACATAAATGCTTTTGAATTTAATAAAAACCACCTACCTAATTTTTCGGCATAGATAAGAAACCATTATATAAAAATTAAAGACATTATTTTCGTAAGACGTACCTATTCATGCTTACTTCGTAACCTTTTATACAGGTCTGCTGACCACCTCGCTGACCCCCCAAATCAGTTTTAGATCTCTAAAAATCGACCCCTAATAACTAACACATTCTCTTATTTGAAAATTTCAAAATACTGTTGTGTTACGTGTAGAAACTTTTTATAAGAAGGACTGTAACATTAGAAAAGATAATTATTAAACTTTTAGTTTGATTTAGGTACTGAATTTTAAGTCTATTTAATTTGTTTAAATTTAATGATCAAATGTTAAGCTTACTCACTTAACCAACCGCAATCTTTAAATTTATGTTTGTTTTCCTACCTATGCTGATAGGCTTGAGATGCTATTTCTTCTAGCTTCGTGACGTATAGGTGAGCTCACGGGGATCAAACCGGGAGTGTTGCTAACATTGGCCCTAGCAAGAACAGTGCTTCGCAGAATCTACCACCGGATCGGAAACGCGGCCCACTGAAAAGATTCGGCGACAAACTCAGTGGGCTGTCTATGCGTTAATTAATTTACTCATCGAGCCCTTCGTCGCAAGCGAACGGTTCGGCGAAAACGGTGACCGGTTCTTGAGGTACCTATAAGCACCGTTAATGGATCGGGAGGATCCGTAATGACGTGTTTATGGCGACGTCGACGGTTTACCATTCAATCCACAGGATCGGGTATGTAATTACCGGCGGCCACGACAAGAGGGTTTTCATGTCGTGCCGCCTTCTGTAAAAATTGGTAAATATTTTCTATCAATAGGAAAACAAATTGAGAGAGATTTTCAAAGTAATTTGGCAATGAAGGTCGACATATTGGAAGAGGATATCTTGCCCAAAATAGTTTGTGAATGTCTTATTTAAATACCCTTGTACCTATCTAAAATGTCTGGTTACTTATATAAAGCGCAACACATTATTTTCTTTGTCGTATGACTCTTGTGTGCTGTGAGATAATTTTATGCTCCTCACAAACAATCGCTACTACTACGCTAAATCGAAACTAATTCTGACATTAAGGACGATCAAATAATTAAAGATCAAAGCATTCGCAAAGTCCGTGAAGTTGCAAAGATTAGGATATAATTCTCAGCCTCAGTTCTACATTATCTTTTTTCTATCTTTCAATTACCTACCAACTGAAATACTGGATTTTTGAAGAACCTTTAAAAAAATGTGATTTAATTGTTCGTAAGAATACAAATTGATTTAATTCGTGATTCAAAATATTAAAAAATATTAGATTGGAAATTTTTTACACATTTACGATGAAGGCGACGAGTAGGAACTAAATTGTAATTTATTGCATTGAGGGCCTAACATAAGACTGTGTACTTAACAATTTTATGTACAAAGCTGAAGTGTAACACGTTATTAATTAATATAACCTTTCCGGCGTTTTGGGAACAGATAATCGGTCGGTTATGGTGGAGGGGCAACCTTCTTTGTGTCTTTTGATATCGACTATTATTAATTTAATTTAATAGCTCAAAAAAATCCAAGTTTCCAAAACTTACACTTCAAACATCACACAAAAATATTGTAGTAAGCCTTTGTTTTTTTCATTAAAATAGCCACCATTTGTGTACAAGAACTTTTCAGAATTATAACCGCAAAATATACAATATTCGCCTTACAGTCTGTCAAGTCAGTTTTTGGTGATATCGGCTACTTAAAAAACAAATTTCGTGTAATTCAAACATTTATTTTCATAATAGAAGAGACTTAATGACTTTGATATACTTATTTATGTATTGTTAGTCTGGGTTTACAAAACTAAATCACAGAAATATAATGTGACTTGGAAAATCAAGGCACTGACAAATGACGTCACAAGATATAATTTATAACAAAAATAATAAACTGCTCTGGAATGTCATTGGAGACATGTTGCTGTTTCTAACGGTCTCCTAGGTTTGAATCTAGGCAGAATATGAAACCTCAATATCTATTCAGCTCAATGTTATTACAGATGGTGTAATAACACAAGAACACCTACGCAGTTGATAAAATTTAAGATAATAAACCTAATTTACTGATTTCAAAATGAAAGGATAATTGTAAAAAGACAAAGATTCGATGCTAAATTTTGATAAAATTTATAATATATCAATTGAGTAAATATCGCTTGTATTTAGACTGATTAAATAATAAATAATTTTGACTAGCCTATATTTCAATAAATTTTTAATTTTCACTTTCCCTTAGAGTATTTCCAAATCACAGTGCCGAATTTGTGGAAACTTTTTCTGCAAAGAAAACAATTATTAGTATATTGGTACGTAAAACCCAATAACGATTTATTGGTTCAAATTAAATTTACCCTCAGCTTTAACTCTATTCTATCAATTTCGCCTCCAAGCATATCAACAATATTTTCTCCATGCTTAAGTAAAAAAGTTTCTACATCATCGATCGTGTCGATTTTCTTCATGTCCTTAAAAATGTTTGAGAAGTAATTTTAGTAGGGTACAACTTTTTATAGGCACACAACGAAAACTTTTCATTTTTCTTATTTGAAAAAATAGTATACCTCTAGTAAAGCATTCAAGTCGTGTTTCTCTAAATACGATCTTGTGAGAGCTCTGCCATCAAAATCAACTTCAGCCTGCAAAGAATTCAAAAATATTAGACACAACTTCTACCGTAGAAACTGGCGAAACATGAATCCCCCCATATTATTATTGTGCTTACCTTATATCTTATCAAGTTACTGCCTATATCTATACCCTTCACATCATGAATAGCTCTTATCATAAAGTCTCTTTCTAACACGCTGTTAATTTCATCCAATTGCTCGTGGGGTATAGACCTATAAGTGAAACAATATCAAATATATTTAATACTAGCGGCCCGCCCGGCTCCGCTCGGGTCTTCAACAAAAATTTCAACGATACTTGATGTTTCATTTTTTTTTAAATAAAAGAACACCTATTGCGGCATAACTATAATAGTTAGACATATGCTGTCCTGACACTTTTTGTAAACAATAATGTGTTCTACAAAGTCTTAGTACATTATTTTATTCTATCATCAATAGTTTTCGCAGGGCACGCGATGCCGCGATGTAAAGAATATTTAAGGAATTTGTTTTACACTTTGGGTTACATTATTGTAAGGATCCCTAATTTTTTACAAAAATGATTATACCCTATGTCACTCGGGAATACTGTAGCTTTCAAACAGTGAAAGAATTTTTCAAATCGGTTCAGTAGTTTCGGAGCCTATTCAATACAAACAAACAAACAAATCTTTTCTCTTTATAATATTAGTATAGAAGTATAAAATAAGTACAAATTAAATATTAGAGTCATTTACCTGCCAACTAGAGCACCGACATTACTCAGGATAATAAAAGATGCAACTCCACCCAGTATGGTACCGACTAATATGCTGCCTAGGGCATCAGGTAATGGATTCCCAGTGTATTGTGAAATAGCCATACAAGATGCTGCTACGATCACGCCAGCTACAGCTGCCGTATCTTCCAATAAAACTACATTCACTGAAGGGTCCGAGCTTCGCATTACTTTAAAAATGATGAATACCACACATTAGTCTAAGAACAGCTAACTAAAATTCAATGAAATTATTATCACTATTAAAACTACCTTTAGAGTTACTAATATTTTTAAACTGTAAAGGTAGTTTTTAAATAATGATTCGCGACCCTGACAATGTATTAAATTATTTGTATGTACCATATTCATAAAGTGACATATTTGCTTCTCGTGCACCTTTTCTAATGGCGCTTAATGCTACCATTAATGTGGCACCTTCTGATACCACAGCGCCTCCCAGTACAAAATATGCCTAAAAATTTAACAAATTAAAATATGTTCATGAAAATCAATAAAGTTTGTATTACAGTGCTTCCTTACCCAATAAAAATCATGTAATGGTTGTGGGTCCAAAATACCTGTAACTCCGTGATAGAAAGACAAACCACTTCCTACACAGAATATACCAACACCAGATATCAGTGATGAGACATATCGCATATTTGTATAACCATATGGATGGTCAGGATCTGCCATCTGAAACGGTAATGAAACAAATTTTAGTTGTTTTCCTGAACTCATTGACAAAAAGTCAAATCATAATAATATAAAGGAACATTTTTATTGTGAATATATATTGCGATTACAATTTATATATAACTAGCTGACCCGGCAAACGTTGTGTTGCCTTAAATAAGATTTCTAGGGAAATTCTAGTGAAGAAAAAAAAACCTCATTCAACCACATAATACCTCACTATAACAAAAAAAAAATTATCCAACAAATAAAAATAAAAAATAAATGTTTGGGGTGGACAACCCTTATCATATGGTGGTATGAAAAATAGATAGTAGCCGATTCTCAGACCTACTGAACATACTATTGATACACAAATAAAACCAAAAAAACATGGCTGAAAAATGTATAGTGAGTAAGACAGGAGACCGGCTTCGTCCTCATCCCTGCTACGTGATGTTTGCTCGATGAGTGGTGACACCTGGCGGGAATAACTGATCGATTGATAGTTCGATCAGTAGTCGACCGGCGAGAGCGGGAGATCAAATTGAATTTATAATAAAAAAAATCATAATTAAAGGAACTTGAAATTATAAACTCTGAATAAGAATTTATCGTACTACAATTATAATATTTGATTGCCATCTTGCAACCTTATAGCGGATCTGTGCAGAATAGAAAAAATAAAAATCGGGATGGAAAAATAGGGGTTGATTGTATAAGAGTGAAAATCGAGAGTAATATGAAAGTCCTGACAAAATAAAAAACAAAAATTATGCCAAAAAAATTAAAGTATATAATAAAAAAAAAAAATTAGGGGTTGATCGCAGAAGGGTGAAAATTTCAGAGTAAAATGAATTTTTTTATTCTAAGTCGTGACAAAATAAAAACAATTCT